TTATTGACGGATTGGTTTGCGGTGAGCCTAAAAAAACTACCCCCTCCGTCCCAATATAAAAGGCATATATTCCTTTTAAGGTCGTCCCAATATAAATGGTACATTTCCCTTTTTGGCAAACAAAACAATGTAACAGTGTCCAACAATGCCAAACACTGTCTAAATAGTGTTAAACAGTGTCCAAACAGTTGCAAACAGTGTTCCTCCTAAAAAAAATCAAGCATTCAAGCCCAGCTGGTTGTGAGGTTACCGTGCCTAGTGAGAGGTCTCGAGTTCGAAATCCGCTAGGCACATAAAGATTCGAAACTCAATAAAGTGAGTTTCAGCCCTGATTACTAAAGGCCTCCCAGCCCCCCTCCCCAAACCCCCTGGAGTATAAAACAATGTCCCTCTTAAAAATGTTTGAAAAAACAAATGTGTTCTTTATATTGGGACGGAGAGAGTATGATTGCTTTGTTGCACGGAAACGCGAAAATCATAAGGAAACAGGAAACGAGAAACATCAAATTTTGCTCAAAAAAGGTTTATTTGAAGAATTGAAGAGTTTCTAAAGAGTTTCCGAAACAAGAAACGTACCATTTCCGGAGAGTTTCGGTGCTACCTAGAATTACTAGGTACTCCGTATTAAATAAATAGTTCTGAAAAATAGTCCGAAAGACTATTTTGATATGCAAAAATATCTGAGGTTGGAAAGTGTCTTAGGAAATACGTAGTAGCACCTCCAAGCTCACATGCGCGTGATAGATCCATTTATTATCAAATGAAATGGAATGGCCATATTAATTACTCCGTATTTAATTACGGAGTAAAAAAAATAGAGCCATAGAGGTAGTATTATTTGTACCTTGGTAATACCTTTTGTTGAAAAGATAAGGCTCTGCTGTTTGCCTGGAAAAAGTACGCTGGAATAGTCCCAAAAATAGTTGTCATAAAAATTTGTGGTCCCATAAATGATTTTTTTAATCTTTGTTTTTAAGAGGTTCTGGTCCAAGTTCGGGTGCGAAATTTCGATGCACCAAACATTCATGATGAATAAATGATCTTTCTCACATTTTTATTACGTACAAAATTCCAGAGTATTTTCTTCAATGGTGAAAATATTTTTTAGTCTTTTTTGTATTTTTGTATTTTTTATACGGGTAAAGGAGATGGCTGGAGGAACCAAAGTTAAATAGGGCTGAAATTGCTTCCAATAAGTTTCGAACTTGGGACCTCCTACATGAATAATGAATCAACGAGCAGTGAATTGGATGAATTGGACCGCTTCATAATCATTCTCAATTGGGAAAACTATCAAATAAGCCCCCGTACTATACCGAAAAAGTCGATTAGGCCCTCATACTTTACAAACACTCAATTAAGTCCTCGAACTATTAAAAAACGTTCAATTAAGCACTTTCGGTCGGTAAGTAACCGGTTTCCCGGTTAAATGTGACCCGTTTCCCGGCAGCCGCCGTTGCTAGTGTTCGAGCACATCGTCGCCGTCGTCGCCGTTTAACCGGGAAACCGGTTACTTACCGACTAAAAGGGCTTAATTGAATGTTTTTTAATAGTTCGAGGACTTAATTGAGTGTTTGTAAAGTACGCGGGCCTAATTGACTTTTTCGGCATAGTACGGGGGCTTATTTGATAGTTTTCCCTTCTCAATTTCTCATTTCAATAATTTTGAAACAATAGAAAAATAGTCATCACTTAAATTTTACCTTTTGACAATGGCTTCTTCCTAGACAAAAAAACTCAGTCTTTTAAAGCTTTATCAACTTTGACTTTTTAATTTAATGGTATTTAAGATTGGACCATAATTTTGATTTATATAATATCGTAGAAGTTATAAATTTTATACTTCTATGAAAGTACTTTTAACAAAAAAATATTTTCATATTATTTTTATATTATAAATAAATAACTTTATATAAAAATATATAATTGTTCAGAATTAAAAATGATTAACCAAAATATTCAAAGATGACAAAGTCTTAATGGACGGGGAGTAATAATTCCGTCAAAGAGCTTATGTTAATTGTAATGGGAAATGTAAACTATCACAGAGTATTTTTTGACGTACTATCAAGGGTAGCTTTCAAAATATGAGTGAAATAACGCAAAATTTCTAAAATTCCATGACAGTTCCATGATAGTTAACATTTATAACATCACGGTCGATGATTTCATTATAGGGTATTATATACTAATATATTCGTGAAAAATATTTTTCAAAGTATTGTTGAATTACTTTATTTAACTATTATTTAAATAATTGTGCTCTTTTTTTATGGAAAACATACATAACTAACGTAGATTCAAATAATTGTGTGAATTCAAAGAAGTAAAATTTGAATGTTTGAGATTTGTGGAGAGGTGAGAGAAATGAAATTAGCCACGAACAAAAAAGAAAAGTTGACAAAATCAAGTAAGATGTAAAAAGTATTTTATTATGAGTATGTGTAATAATAAGATAAGTTGATTCAATAATTGTTTGAGAAAATTTGTTATATAAGACTAAAAGTCTGAAACATAAACAAAATGCACATATAGACTACGGTAGTTTAAAACATATGAAAACATAAACAATAAACATATTCAAATAATGCTTTATTTGAATATACATCATTGTTTTCTTCATGACTTATTCCCTCCTAACAGGAGACATTTTATACTTTTAATAAGATCATATAAGTCTTATTTCAGAAATAAAGCACATATAAAATGTTTTTACTTGGACTGTTTTTTATCCGAGACCAGACATATCAAACCAGTTCAGACCAGATCATACCAGATTTGGATAGTTATAAAATACATAGAGTTTAGACATCTAGCAGACCATACCAGGTCAGATCGGACCAGTAAAAACTTCTGTTGTTTTATTTTGCACATTTTGTCTAAATTTTAGTCCTGTTTAAAGCCATTTTTATAATGGTTTATGTATGCTGCAGGAAGTGATTTGGACTCCCCCATTAGGAGTGCGCCGGGATTTGACGGCATCATACGCCGCCGAGACCTGCCCAACTTCTGTCGAGCCGAAAACATCCACGATCCCACCATCCAACTTGTTCTCAAGGAAGACCAACATCTTCCCAAAGCCCAAGGCCTCATCTTCAACACTTTTGACCACCTCGATGGGCCCGTCATCTCTCATTTTCGAGCTGTGTGCCCCAACATCTATGCTGTCGGCCCGCTCCACTCTCACCTAAGGGCTCGACTGCAGTCCTCCTTGCCATCCATCAGCAACAGCCTATGGGAGGAGGACATGAGTTGCATGGATTGGCTCGACCGGCAGCCGGAGCGATCCGTCGTCTACGTGAGCATCGGAAGCTTGGCCATTATTAGCAGAGACCAGCTCATGGAACTTTGGCACGGGCTGGTCAATAGCGGGTCACGATTCCTCTGGGTTCAAAGGCCCGGGTCTGTGACCCCATGTGCTTCGGGGTCATGCAATGATGCCCCCGAGGGTTTGGTAGAGGAGACAAAGGAGAAGGGTTGCATCGTGCAGTGGGCCCCACAAGAGCGGGTGTTGGGCCACCCGTCTGTGGGCGGGTTTCTCACCCACAGCGGGTGGAACTCTACGCTGGAGAGCATAGTTGAGGGGGTGCCCATGATGTGCTGGCCCTACTTTGTGGACCAGCAGGTGAACAGCAGATTCGTGCAGGAGGTGTGGCGGTTAGGGGTGGACATGAAGGACGTGTATGATAGGGGAAGCATTGAACGGATGATTCGAGAGGTTATGGAGGATAGAAAAGAGGAGTTCTTGAAAAGGGCAAGTGAAATGGCTGCATTAGCCCGCCAAAGTGTGGAGGAACAAAGTGGCACTTCATACAGAGATATGGACCGTCTCATTGAGGATATTAGGCTGATGACAAGGAAATGATGAAGATTATTGGAGCAATGGAGTCTCCTCATTGCATTATATTGCTAAAAAAAATCCAATTTGTGTTCTGTCACCTACACTTTCTATTACAAATTCATTTAGTGTTATTATTATGTTATTATTGTTGTTGTTTGTCATTCCGATTCATGCATGTTTTCCCATCTTCATTATGGTATCTACAAAATATATTTTCAATATAAGATAATTACGATAGCAATTATATTGTATATGACTATATGCTACGGAGTATTAATTTTTTCTCATTGAATGACCCTAAAACTCTTGTTTGTATAATACTACGTACTAAAGAGAATATTGATAACCCGCTTTCGCGGCGTTGTAGTAAAACGGAGTTTAACCTTCCGGATGGAAAAGTTTATCCCCGAGTATCGTGTTTCTGAGGAGTGGCGGAGGGAAGTGTTGGTTTTAATATCGGTCACCGGTTAGTACGAGTCGTTGCAAGCTTTCTCAAACGATTAATTGTGATAATGATTAAGTAAATAAAATTAAACAACAAAAGTAGTAACAGAGAATTTAATTAAATGACATTAAGGAGTAAACTAAAACTAGTGAACATGCCAAATAACTTGAGAGAGAGAATTATAACTAATTAAAATATTAAACTAGAAAACATGTGGATGAGTAAAGTTTCGAGAATAAAATACTTAAAGGTAAATTCAATGTGACTAGTAACGAAAAATTTAACTAATTAAAAGTGGGGTCTAGATTTGAAATTAAGGATCTTGGGTGTCTTTGAATTATGAACAAATTTGGGAAAATTTCTCCAATTTAAGAATAGTGATATACTAATTCTCATAGACAAGAACTTGATTTTAATTCCCTAACATGTCCTATTTCTAGGCTTAGTTTAGGGTGTGTGAGATGTGAGCTAAATTAATTCCAAACTCATAGACAAGAAAGAATTAATCTTCCAAAAATTCACAAGTGAAGTGATCAATTTCACAAATTACTCTTTCAATTTCATCTCAAACAACTAGTCCTAAAAACTAGAAAATTTTCCCAAATTCAATTCAATATTCAAGAACACCCATTAACCTTAATTTTATCCAAATCCAAACCCCATGGAGAATTACCCTAGCATATTTATCAAGAAATTAAGACAATTAACTAAAGAGCTAGAGTAATATGTTGATATAGTTGAGCAGTAATTCAACATCAGTAACAAATGCAATTGTCCAAGTAAATAGCAATTCTGAATACGAAATACTCCAGGAATTAGACTTAAAGTTTATTAAAGTAAGAATCTAAGCATGAAATAATTAAGATTGAAACTGAAACATGATGAAATAAACCGAAAATTCAGTAGCCGGCGTTCTCCTTTTCCCTTCTGCTAGCAGGTTTCATCTCTGCGGATCAGCTCCTTCTCTCCATGCCCAGCAAACTATTTGCTACCTGAGCTACTGCCGACTAATTTCTTCAGTTGTTGCCGATCCAGAATTGACTCCCAGGCTGAATGATTGCTGGTGTGTATTCTCCCGTTCTTGCTGCTAAGTGCAGCTTCCTTCCGACCCAGAGCTACTTGCCGCTTAATGATTGCGGGTGTGAATTGATAGCTCAATCCTTTGCCTCCTTCCTTCATATGCTGCTGGCCGTTCCTTTCTTTGTTTCTTCCTTTTATTTGGCCGCTGAAAGGAGTGAGAGCCATGTGCTTTTTGTTGATTGCTCCCTGCCTGTTCTTTTCTTTCTTTTCAACGCAGCTGGGCTGCAATTATTTTTGACTTCTTCTTTTTTTGTTTTCTTTTATTTTCTTTATTTTGTTTGTTTTTCTTTTTCTTCACGCAGCTTAGCTGCATTTCTATTTTTCTTTTGATTAATGTACTTGAAAGATAACTTAATGAAATATAGTAAAATGCTAAATTTGACAAATCACCCCCAAAATAACCAAAGTACAAATAAGTGAAAAAAACACAAAATCAATCCAAACACTTTAATAAATCAAAAATTACAAAAAAAAAAACACAAACTTCAACACTAATTTCGAACATGAACATATATGCAACAAAAACGCAGAAAAGTGCTTCAATTTGCCCCGAGTTTAACAAGAAACACTATTAAAAGTGAGTGAAAACATATGAACAAATCAGACTTATCAAATGTATATTTTATTTATGATTTATTTCTATTCATGGAATAACCATTTAATTATGTATATGTTTACTTTATTTAGTTTTAGGGTACCACCATAATATCATAAAACAATAAGAAATGGGGCGTGTGGTACCATTAAAATAGGTTGAATAAGTTTAATTTGGTGAAATTTAAGAAATTCTAATTGAATTAGTTGAATCTGCTGAATTATGAAAAACATTATATTTCAAAAATACTACGTATATTTTATTAGTAAAATTAAGAAAAAAATACATAAAAAATTTAATGCGATTGCCTCGGTTCAGGATCATCCTGCTTGTAGTGCGCCTCCTGCTATTGATAGTAACATGGTTACCTCGGTTCAGACCACTGATGTTTTTAGTGTACCTTTTGGAGCTCCTATTAATCCTGATAATAATGTAATTCACTCTGTGGATGCACTGGTTACCCCTCCGTTTGTTGCTCAGGTTTTGACACCAGTTGTTGCACCTGCCCATTGTGCAAAACCTATTAATGACCCGAAATCTGCCCCTGCGGCATTAAATTTTACAGAATGCACCATGAACAACCAAGCTCCGGTTACCAACAATACTTCTGCTAACATTGAAGCCTTCGATCCTAATGTTGAAGTTGAGATAATTCTTGATGTGTGTACTTCTGGCAACACTGCCAGTGAAGGAATGTTTGATGCTGAGTTAATTGCCCCTATGATTTTTGAGGTTCCTGTGGATTCACAGGTTTACACACCCGCACATAACCAGGTTCCTAGGTCTGTTGCTTTGGCACGGATGCTGATGAACCCCCGGTGGCTACCTGTAAAAAGGCGGTAATCGAGGGAGTTCAAACTACACGTGCAAGTCCTGACTTTGGAATCCCGAATGATGCTAAATTTGGAAATGAAGAACAACATCTTGATCCATCTTTAGCAAATAACACTGCTGATACTACACTTGATCCACCCTGGTCCAATGATGATATATCTGAGTACACCCCCCCTTATTACTAACTTTTCTACTCCAGGTCATCCACATTTACCACCACGGGTAGACCTAGACGGCATTACTCCGGTGAAGGCAAAGAAATATAGTGCAATGCCCCCAAACGGATCTCCGGAAGCCAAACAACTATTCTACGAGGTGGGATACACATCACACCCGATGATCACAAGAAGTCAATCCAGACGCCCACAAAATGAAGATGACTATTACATTTACCCTGTTGATGCGAGGCTGGACTCTCCACACAAACTTGCTACGACACTCACACGATACAGGATTTCTAAACCGGAAGCAAAAACCTACCAACCCTATCTCTGAAAGGCTATTCAATTCCATAACAGATATAACATATCCATTTCAGCTTCGGTCGGGCTACCTTAAAAAAACTGCAACTCTTAAACCCCTGTTTTTTTTCCGACTTTTGACTGTATGCTTTTTCTTATACCGTTTCTTAAATTCTCTTGTAATCTACTTATTATTAATAAATTTGGGTAGTGTTCCCCGGCATTCCCGCCACCACGTGTGGTTATTTCCGGAAAAAAGAGGTGTTCTATATTAACTTGAGCCAATTCAGACAAAAAAGTACATTATTTTAATCTTACTTATTTAGTTATTAATCAATTCATAACGTGACAAAGTTGTCGCCACTGCCAGATCTGTTGCAATCGTTACCCGCTCGATATGCAAAGCCCTTATTGTAATAATATACCTAGTCAGGGTTATTTGACATTTATTTCTCTTATAATAAATATATTTGTCAGTGCTTATAAAAGGATAATATATTTCATTATTTCACATGCTCTCAAAAGTTCAGATATAATTTTTTATTTTGGCACCTTCCACCCTAATCTTCCGCCGCAGCCGCCGTCATGCCATTCGACTTAGCTACCTCCTTCTTTACAACGACGGCGGCCACATCCACTGTGGCGCAGACAAGTGTTGCCTCATCTTGTACCTTGTCTAATGTTGCCGTTACTTCCTTCGTCTCTACTGTTGTGGAGATGATCTCCAACAAGTCCGACGCCGCTCGATTCACAGTGACGCAGCCGGTCCGGTCGTCCATGGGGTCCCCACTCCTGGTCTCTTATTCTCCGGGTAGGACGTCCACTAGTGCTTACAACCAATGTTCTAAAAGGCGCTAGGCGCTAGTTGGGCGCCAGCCCAGCGCCTAGTGCCTAGGCGGCTAGGCGGGCGCCTAGTCGGGCACTAATCGGAGACAAAGAAATTGCATTTTTATCTATATTTTTGCATATATATGATAAGTAATATTATATTTTTGTGTGTATAAAATACATATATACATATACATTAACAAACATGAATGATAGAATTATCACATTCAACCATAAAAAAAGAATAATCACATTCAATCATACGTAGTATATGATAACTAATCAGTTAACTTCATTATGTTATAAATATAAATAATGATGAAATTTAGGTATATATAGAAACATATATAGTGTTATCTTAATTTACAACTTCATTTCTTTATATCCATAGCTAAAGCTAAAGTATGTATACCACTCAGAAAATTAAAATTAAAAAATAAAGTAATGTTTGGCGAATCTAGATGGCCTAGGCCGCCGATTAGGCGCTCTAGGCGGGCAACTAGGCGCCATAGGCGGCCGACTAATTCACCTAGACGGCAAACCAATTAGTCGGAGCGCCTAGATGAAAATCGGGGCGCCCGGCCACTGCCTAGCGCCTAGGCGGGGACTAGTCGGACGCCTAGAACGATTTTTAGAACAGAGCTTACAACCATTTTGATACCTTGCCTCCTCGGTATTTTAGATGTTCTCCATTGCAACATACATTGTTGTCATCGGCTCTCATTCGTCGCCGTTGGATTTACACATCGACCGATTTAGAAGCTCGATGCTGATGGAGAGAGAGAGTTGTCACCGCATATGCAGAAATTAGGAGAAGGTGAAGCAATCTCGATCCGAGTTCGTGGTGGTCGAACGACTACGACGGTGGAATGGTTTTAACGGTCGGGCAATGAACGATCTGAGTGAGAAGGAGATGTCTGCTTCAGGTCGTGAGAAGGAGAAGATTGATACTTAATACTCTATCCGTCCCGAATTGTAAGACACTTTACGATTTACGATGTGTGACCGACGATAAAGCAAACGGATCCCTGTCCACACTCAATTATTTTTAGAAAAAAAGAATTACATATTCAGAAACTACATTAAAAGTTTTATAAAGTCACAAAAACCATAATCAAATTTGATAAAAATTTGATATATAAAGTAAAAGATTAAGAGTGATTTGTGTTGACCAAGTGAATAGGAAACATATCTTACAAAATGAGATTGAGAGAGTACTTTTTAAAATCAATCACATTTTTGAAATATTTTTGGCAGAGTTCTTGCAATATGTAGTCATTATTGTCAAAATAGTTGTAGTACTAAGCATTAACATGATCATATTTTCCAATCATGGCAGTAATGACTCCTATTTTGGGAAGAAAAAAATAGCAATTATATTTTGGAATCCTCAAACATATTTACTCTTATGTAGTGCAATTTCTCTTGCATTTTTCATTAAATGTAAAAAAATGAATTTTCCAATATTAATATAACAACAATAACATAATATCAAATAAATGTAATAAAATATTAAAATAAAGAAAATATGCTTGCAAAATAATATTGCCATTTGTATAAAAAAAAATAATGGCATTGAAAGGAGTGACGAAACCATAACTTTTTCAGGGGATGTCAAGAAGGCTAGAATATATGAAACCTCAAAACTAATTAATTGATAATGAAATTATAAAATAAACACAAATGAGTGTCTAAATTTGAAAGTGTTATAAAACTTAAGGTTTACATCTTAATACTACACTAACTATTCTGGGAAATGACTGAAGATAATTTTGCATTGCGAGTTTACATTTGTAGAAAACTTTGTATAATCTTTCACATACTTTATCGGGGGATAAAAGTCTCAACCGACTTACCAGGAACCGTATGTAAGTACTCTTGAATTGAAGGACATGCATGATCTCTACTTGAAGAATCAAAATCATCAATAGGTTTTCATAAACATGGATCAACCACAACGTCATCAGAATTGAACTCAACACATACGAGATTATTGTGTCTTTTTTTATATCGTAAAGTGCTTATATCATTAAAATAGCATTCAGCCGGGGTACAAGAACGTAAAAGGACCACATGTAAGCATCCGTCTTTGACCGAGACTCTGAGTTAATCTTCTTTGAGAAAACAATATAACTCGCTAGACCTAACTTGGACAAATTAAAGCTAACAACGATCACCATATACCTCTCAACCCCCAAACATAATGTAAGAGTTTTACAGCAAAAGGAATAGTAAAAACAATAATAAACCGACCATGGAGTAAAACGAAAATTAATAAAATAAACTGACAAAGCAATCAAATCCATGCTTCAAACATCATCCTCAACGGTGGCTCAGGAGGGGGGCGGATCATCAACCATTCATCTGGAAACATTCCTTGCAAACCCACCATCCACCACAATTTCCACTGGCAACTCTTTAATCTTTGTGGTTATAGCACGAGTGAACCCGGAACCCATGCTTTCCATCCCAATCGAAACCAATGGCACAAGGCCCCTGGTTTGAATTCTTCCTTCTGTGCGGCCTCGACCGAGATTCAGCCAAACAGAGCCGCCAAGCAACTCCGACCGCAGCATCTCTCCCGAAACACCAGACCCCAGCCCGTCCTTAGCTTGATGACGAAACTGGTGAGAAGAAAACAGACAGGAAAAAAACGATCTTCGATCGAAACAGATCGAAATCGGAGCAACGACCTAGTGGCGCAAACCCTAGGAGAGAACGCGGCTACGCAGAGCCGAGCACATTAAGAGGATAACATTTAAGTGTTTAAAAGCTACTTTTATTTTATACCCCATTGTGTACTTTTGTTTTATTCTGTAAAAGGTTTTGAAGACTCTTCATTAAGTATAACGAATTTTAACATGATGAACCTAACATATTATACAAAAACAATTCAGATAATAACTAAATGTGTGAAACTTCAGTCACTTAAATGGATTTACAGCCGTAATTATTTTTAAGTACTTAACCACAATATATACAGAGTATATAACAATAACATTATTAATTACATTATAGCATGGTCCTAATTCACAAAACATAAAAAAAATGTTGTCGGCTTGCAGTAGACATTATTTTGACATAATAAAACTGAAAACCATAAAAAGACATTAGACATATAATTATTGAATTATAAAGAATATTACGTAATAAATTAAAACTCTGATCTAAACGTTTTATTATGGACGTTGAAACCATAGGTGCAACAATAGGGTTGGAGCAAGCTCTCGACTATTTATTATTCTTGAGTAGTTGGACTTTAGTAGTAAAATAAAATTCAAATAAACCTCAATAAATACTCCGCATGTTTAATTAAGTGTATGTGAGTTTTTTGATACTCCGTATATACTTTATAGAAAGGGTATTTTTGAAATTCATTTACTCATATTTTTTACAAAAAAAAATAATAATAATATCGTTTATTCGAAAAATTTTGTTCGAAAAATTCAATATAATAAATTAATTAAGCATTCTTATAATCACCTAATCAAGCGGAATTAATCCGCTAAAAAAGTTCACACCCATATATTTAACCCAAATAAACTAATACCCTTTACAATAATTTTACACGCAATCAACCATTTCAACCAACATATTACCGAACACTTTCACTTCAGCACATTCAGTCTCTTAAGCCTATTCAGTCGTTACAGCCGTTACCAAATAGGCCCTTATATGGTTGATGGGTCGAATAAGAGCTTTTTTGAGTTAGGACTTGGGAGTGCGAATTGAGCAAATTGTGCAGTACTAGAGCCTATTTGGAACTCAAACATAACGTTAGAGTCTGTTTGGAATTTGGAAATCGCTATCGAAAGAAAATAGAAAAAAGACCATGGAAGAAGTTTGGAAGAAAAAATTGTTGAAGACAATAAAACACCGGATAAAACTCTTATTTATAAAACACTGGACCAATTTGACACTTTGTCTCTTATTATTATGAACCTTTCTAAATATTTTATTTTTGTGAAATACATGTAGTATAAAAATAAGGAGTATTGATATTAATTTGCATTTTTCCTAATTTGTTGGTGTGCACTTTTTTGTGTACGTACGCCCCTTTTTGTACACTCTTCTGTTTTTTAAGAGTGTTCAAAACCGAGTTTTGTTTTTGTTACGAAGTTATATACTCACAAAAAAGGGGATAAGGGTCAGTTTGGTCCTCGAAGTTGCAAAAAAGGAGTCAAATAAGTCCTTATATAGAAGATTCTGTCCGGACGTGTCATTTGAGGTAGCTCCCGGTGGAATTTTTTGATGAATTTTTTTGAGCATCTTATTCATTAAGTCTAGTTTACTCATACCAAATTTCAGATAAAAATTCAATTGTGAAGACATCCAAATGAATTCTTAAGATAACTGTGTCGTTAAAAGTGCAGTTATTTTCAAGAATTCATTTGAATGTCTTCCCGGTTGAATTTTTAACTGAAATTTGGTATGGGTAAACTAGACTTAATGAATAAGATCCTAAAAAATATTTATCAAAAAATTCCATAGGGAGCCACCTCAAATGGCAAGTCCGGACATAATCTTCTATATAAGGACTTATTTGACGCCTTTTTTGCAACTTCAAGGACCAAACTAACCCTTTACTCCAAAAAAAGGTTACCTCTTTGTTTTTTGTATTTGCCACCCGTAAGAATAAAAACATTTGCCATTTTCCGTGACTATTTTAGGCAAGGGTAAAAGTACAGTTCCCAAATGGTTGACAAATCCGTCGCCTCTACGGCTATGACGTCCAAAGCCATTTTTAGTTGTTTTTTAAAAAATGGGAGAGAGACGTTGGGATATGGCTAAAGGCAGTTTTCCTCAGATTTGAAATCTTGGCTAAAGGCAGTCCCATATCATCCCAAAAACACACCCACACCCAATATCCTAGCTCCACACTCCTCATCAACCATCATTTTTATGTAATCCACCGAAAGATTTGAACTTTGTAAAGTAAGATTCTTGATGGGTTTAAACTAGCATCTCAGCTAGCTTGACTTCGTTGAGTTAGTGTTACTTAATTGAAGTTTTGAGAAAAGTTGAAGCCATTTCGAGAAGTGGAGAGTCGAGCTTAGAAGAAGATGAGCAAGAGGAGAGACGGGTCTAATATGTCAGAGTCACCGATCGACTCGAGTTCCAGGGGATCTAGTTATTCAGAGTCCTCATCCGACGAGAGTGAACAGAAGGGGAACTATTTTTCGCAGTCACCTCTGGGTTGGCCCATCCGGAAGGCCCAAACTACCAAGTGTTTGAGGAAAGGCGTAGCAGAGAAAGAGATGCATGGCCAGGCTAATGAACAAGACGATGGAGATCATTCCCGGTTAAACAAGCTTAACTTGAAAAACCCAGGTTGCCCCCTTCTCTTTTTCTTGATAAAAATCTAAACGAATTTGTACCTGGTAGTTGACCTTTGATTTGTTCTGAATTTAACGGTTCTTACTTAAGCAGAAATGGAGATGATGAAAGAGAGATTTTCAAAATTGCTGCTTGGTGAAGATATGTCTGGCTGTGGGAAAGGAGTTCCAACGGCATTGGCCATTTCAAATGGCATAACTAATCTTTGTGGTAAGTAATTTGTAAACATACTCTCTCCTTTTGATTATGATTATTCTTTAATGGCTTGGTGTTTTGACAGGATGAGTTTTCTCTTACTATTGATGAAATTGAATTAGGCCTTGTTCGTAATTATTATTAGTGATGATAACCGGACTTTAATGTTAGTAACACATGCATATATTTGTCTCAGCCACTGTATTTGGACAGTTCTGGAGGCTGGAGCCATTTCCTCCAGAAAAGATATCCATGTGGCGAAGAGAGATGGAATGGCTTGTTGCTGTTAGTGATCATATTGTTGAATTAATACCTTCTTGGCAAATACTTCCTGATGGAAGTAAGCTTGAGGTCTCTCTCTCACTCTCTCTCTCTCTGTGTGTGGGCTTTTTTAGAATGAATATCAACGGTTTCCCTCACTGTCTCAGGCAACTTCATTGTAAATTCCCCCGTCCCGCTAAGATCATCCCATCTTTCCTTTTTGGTCCATCCCACTGACATTGTCTCATACCAAATTTGCTAATGTTTCTATGGTTCTAAATCGTTCTTACTTTATCAATTCAATACCGACCATTAATTATCTTTTCTTAATAACCACATCATCTCCTCATGTACCAAAGTTAGGGGGGCGGAGGATAGTAATACTTAAAGAGCAGTAGTGTTACATTAAATTAATACCCTATTTAGCCCCTCTAGTACAAACTATTACTCAATTTTGTGCTCAACTTTCACTTGTACTCAATTTGAGCCCGACTAGATGCAATACCGCATGCACCGTTGTTTTGATCAAGAAGTGTATTTTTGTACCTCGGGGACTAAATTGGGTCCAAATTACATATTTGGAGTAAATGAGGTCAAAATTTAGAACCCTTCTAATTTAGAACCAAGTATGCACGTGACTTGGGCCAAAGCTCCATAGTTCAGTGGCAAATCTAGCCTAAACAGAAGGTGAGGACCCAAGTGAGTAAGAGTGTGTATAGTAGAAGTTGCTGCTAAGTTCACAGGCTTGAAAAAATAACTGATATTTTGCTGAACACCCATTGTGTTTTCAGGTAATGTGTAGCAGGCCAAGGCTAGATATATTTATTAACCTTCCAGCACTCAAGAAGCTTGACACCATGCTAATTGTAAGGCCTAACTCACCTTCTTGCCTCTCCCCAATCTATTACCCGCAGAGAATATCTATCTGATGATAAAATCCAATAAAATGGTGCAGGAAATTGTAGATAGTTTCACAAGCACCGAGTTTTGGTATGTGGACAAAGGCGCCGGTGGCGGAGAGAAGGATGGGTCATCAGCCTCTTTCATAAAGGAGGCGACAGTCACGCGACAAGAAGAAAAGTGGTGGTTGCCAGTGCCAAGGGTTCCGCCAGGTGGTCTCTCTGTTTCCACAAGAAAACAGCTAGATCACAAACGCGAATGCACGAGTCAAATCCTTAAAGCTGTAATGGCGATTAACAGCTCTACTTTAGCGGAGATGGAAGTTCCCCATTCGTACTTAGATGCTCTTCCAAAGGTAAGTGTATGTCACCTATGTGGTAAACCTCTTTAACATGTTTTCTTCATCTTTATGATTCATTTCATCTATGTAATGTTTATGAATGAGTGTCTTGATTTATAGAATGGGAGAGCATGCTTAGGAGAGGTGGTTTATCGCTATATCACATCAGATAACTTCTCTTCGGAGTGTCTGCTGGATTGCCTTGACCTGACTTCTGAACATATGGCTCTGGAGATGGCAAATCGAGTGGAGGCTGCAATGTATGTTTGGCGTAGAAGACACCACCACCATGCTAGACCCCCAACTCATACCAACCGTTCAACACCCAAATCTTCTTGGGATATTGTTAAAGATCTAGTGGTTGATGGAGACAAAAGGGATTTACTTGCACAGAGAGCAGAAAACCTCCTGCTCTCTTTGAAACAAAGGTTTCCCAATCTGACCCAAACCACCTTGGATGCCACCAAGATTCAGTATAACAAGGTTGTCCTTTTGTATAGCCTCCCTTCCTTTTCCATTCTTATGCTCTGATTTCTAATAGGAAAGTGTTTCATGATTCCTCAAATAAAATACTTTCCAGGAACTAATATTCTTCACGCTATGTTTAGAACTCGGAAAATGGTTGGGAATATGATTAAGGAATAAAAATGGTTAAGGAATATGATTTTGAAGTTTGGCTTTACTGTGGGATATACAAAGGAAAAGTTAAAACTTTCATTTAAAATTTCCCAAAATGCTTTCTTCCCTGTTTTTCTTTCCGTGGCATTTCCCTAGTTCCAAGCAGACCTTTTGACTTTTTGCGGAAAATAACACCCATTTTTTTAATACAAGAAGTTGTTTTCCACATACTCCGCATTATTTTATATAATTATATTATCTATTTTTATGGCTCAACCATTATTAGATTATTAAAAAACAAAGCAGTATAGGACACCTTGTTATCTTGGATAACATTCTCCACATGTTATTTTCATGGACACAACCAGAAATTCAATATTGAAATACATCACTATTTTTATAGGTAGTAATTATTATTTTAATTCCATTGTTTTCATCATCAGGATGTGGGGAAATCAATTCTGGAGAGCTATTCAAGAGTGTTGGAGAGCCTGGCTTTCAATATCGTGGCACGGATTGACGATCTGATCTTTGTGGATGATATAACTAAGCAATCTGATAATAGCATTGTGCACAGAAAAGTTTTTTCTGCTTCTTCAGCCCCATTCAGATCAACTTTTTCCAATCCTACCCTTTCGCCAGTTCTGCCACTGCTCAGCCCGGCCAGGGGAGGAGAGGTAACGCCGTTCCTCGGTGGCAGCGCTGCTAAGATTCTGAGACGTGGCCTGGGAGTGAAAAGAGCACTGTCAAACTACCTTGGAAGTGAAGCTAGTAATAAGATGAAGACTACTACTACTTGTGGGAATCCTCTGGAAGCTTTTGCCTCCATTTCCAACAAAAGCTCAGACTCTCGAGCTCCAAAAGCAAGTGTGGTGGAGGGTCAAGAGCAATGTTCCGTCTTGCAGCCAATTAACCGCTGAACTATATAGTGACAGCAGCTTGTAGAGATCATGCGTTATATATGTATACTAATAGGGTCATGGGGTCGATACAGTCTCAAACAAAAGATTTGTTCTCACATACATCGATCAATTTGTTTTGCACGTGCACATATTATTTGTCTGTATGTCGGTGACAGTTAATGTTTTGCTTGTGCATGCCTGATGTGTACGGTAGTATACTAGTGGATCTGGGTACATAAAACATTCCCCTAAAACACATTGTTGTAGGATTTATTACGTAGTATGTTCCACTTATCATGTTCATTTATTGTTCATTTGTTGACTTGCTGTCTCTGAGATTATCACTTGTAGTCAATTGTTATGTCGTTGAGGATGTTTCTTCTTCCATTTTTAGAAATCTTGTTAAAGCACACTGGAAAGTTCTAAAAGTGGGTTTTTGGATTATCCGACCAAGTTGCGCCGAGCCAACCATTTAATACCGTCACTGGCAGGGGTGATGTTCCTACTGTAAGGAAGAAGTAGGATACTTGTCAATGTTGTCATGATCTTTTTGTCACGAACAGGTCCGTGAAATACTGCTCTAGCCGGTATCTTAGTATGGTTAGTGTTTTAAGAAGAGGGTGATCGTTGAACGCCCATCATGGGTGGGGTTATAAGTACAACAACGAACGACGATAATAGGTCTCTGTCACATACGAGTATTTTTTATGATTCAAGTGCTTGTTCTTGTGTTTTGGATTTTATACACGGTCCTCCAGAGCCCTTGGAAATTTAAATTCGGGTTTGACCACAATCAATCTTCATTGGTATTGGTTACAAAGGATGACATGAACTACCCTTCTAAGATATTAGACAGTTAAATCCGGATTTGATCACAGTCAGCCTTCGTTGATACTCGCTCCAAAGAACAAATATGATAGGAGTTACATCACCTATAATCAGGTTGATTGCGCCTTCCACTACACGAACATGTTACTTCTGTGAAGGTAAAAAACATTAGAAGCAAGACCTTCCTCATTTCCCTATCTGGGAAGTGGGAAATGAACTCAAGACCAATCCACCATGACTTACACCACTTATAATTAGATGCTCCTCCCACCACACAAACCTGCTATGTCCCTCCATTATCATCTACCTCCACTATCATTTACCTCCACAATCGCTGAACTACTCTGTGAAAGTAGGGAACTCATTGGGAGCAAGACCTCTGTCATTTTTTTGGTATAAATTGGACCGACGACCTCCCACAAAGGAAAGACTTGAGACGGAGTGGCCACCAAGTGAAGCACACCACCTTTGCACGCTCAATTGCATGAACATATACATAGATAATGTATATTGGTGAAAAGTTTGATCTATAGATGAAAATGTGTTTTTAACATGTGTATTAGTCTTTATATATTGTTTTATTTTTAAGTATTCATCTTTTTTTCTTTTCACTTGTGTATTTACACTATTTTCCTCTTAGTCTTTTTTAGATTTGGTGAGAGCAACTTTTGATTTTGAGTAGAACCCATTTCATCAATTTAGATTATTAATTCCAATTTTACATCATGTCAACAATTGAATGTTAGATAGTTGAAAGTGAGACCTATCTAATGAAGAGTTAAACTTAATGGAGAAGCGTATTTCTACTTTTCTAGTATAATATTAATTATTTATGGCTATAGTATAGTGACATATGAATATTAATTAATAGAATTGTATTTTAATATTCAATCAGTTAGAATTAAATTACTATAGTATTATATTAAGTATTCTAAAATGAATAATACGAAATTATTTTAAAATTGAAAAATTAAATAATGCAGTAATAATAGTAATAATAATAATAATAGTAATAGTAATAGTAATAGTAATAGTAATAGTAATAGTAATAGTAATAGTAATAGTAATAGTAATAGTAATAGTAATAGTAATAGTAATAGTAATAGTAATAGTAATAGTAATAGTAATAGTAATAGTAATAGTAATAGTAATAGTAATAGTAATAGTAATAGTTATAGTAATAGTAATAGTAATAGTAATAGTAATAGTAATAGTAATAGTAATAGTAATAGTAATAGTAATAGTAATAGTAATAGTAATAGTAATAGTAATAGTAATAGTAATAGTAATAGTAATAGTAATAGTAATAGTAATAGTAATAGTAATAGTAATAGTAATAGTAATAGTAATAGTAATAGTAATAGTAATAGTAATAGTAATAGTAATAGTAATAGTAATAGTAATAGTAATAGTAATAGTAATAGTAATAATAACCATAATAATAATAATAACCGCTCTCTCTCTTCTCGCTCTGGCGATCATGGCGGAATCTTGAGTTTCAGAGGGGGGAGATCGAAATCTCCTCCTGTTTCTCTTGATTCTTCGTGGTTTCTAATCACCTCCTCCGCTTTTATCCTGTTTCCGTCTTTGTTGTTCGTTCTGTTTTTCCTTTTTGTTCTGCCCTCGAATTGGTTGGATCTTCCTCGAATTGGTTGATCATGACTAGGTCTGGCAAGGTCCAAGTCCATGAAGGCGGTGTAGCTTCTGCAGACGATTCTTTTGATTCGGTGATTGGTTCTCAAAATTTGGATAAAAAACTTGGGGGCAAGGTTATTCATTGTCCTTTTCGTGGTTTTGACAATTGTACGGATGGTGTTAATGGAAGGGGGCTTAAGTTTACATCCTTTGGTAGGCATTTGGATTATTTTCATTTTGCTCATGGAGATGGACATGATGCCTGTAAGGAGAGATTGGGTAATGATATTGTTGTTTGGACAGCATGGGAATCGGTTTTACAACAAATGAAATGCTGGCTGTGTACTCATTGTATGAAACTACACTCATGGAGTAAAGACTGCAATAAGCATGGACTTATTGAGGCACCTCTTAAACTTGGAGTTCTGGAATTCCTTATTCATGGTGTTGCCAAACCATCTTGCATTTCCTCTACAGAAATTGGTGAACCTAGCTCTGGTAACTCCTTACACCTTAATGTGGAATTACTTGATCGTGTTTTTTGCACTCAAACCCATACAACTAGACATATTCCCCCACAGTGTAGATTGGCCTTTTCCAGAGCTTTCCAATATGCTATGGATAGAGTCATACTTAATCCTATGGAGATGGTTTGGTGGGTTAGACTTCTTCTTTTCCCTATTTGTATCTTGAGGGTCTATTCTCCTAAAACCTGTGCTGAACAAAGATCTGGCAATAGGAGGAAATTACAGATTAAAGCTATTCATCAAGCTCTTCATAAGTGGGGTACAGGTGAGGGGTGTCTAGATCTTGTCCAGGATTTGCTTGATGACCACATGTCTCGGTCTAGGCCTGCATCTACATCTGTAAAGAGTCAGGCTAATATTAACATACAACTTTGTAAAAGGAAACTAGCTACAGGCGCTTATACTGCTGCTATCAGGATTCTTACTTCAAATGGGGTTGCTCCTCCAAATGAAGATACTCTAGCTATTCTACAGTCTAAACACCCCTCTGCTCCCCCACCTGCTTTCTCCACTGAACTCCATGAAGTGCAACCTCTTATTGCAGATTCTGATATGGTTTTTAGCAGATTATGTAGCTTCCCCAAAGGCACTAGTTGTGGTAAAGATGGTCTTCATGCTCAACATTTACTTGATATACTCACAGGTCCTGCTGCAGCCATTGGTAATGATGTCCTTAGTTCTATCACTGGTATTGTTAACCTGTTGTTATCTGGTAGTTGTCCCTCACAACTTGGGGAGTATATTGCTAGTGCTCCTCTTACTCCTTTGCTCAAGCCTGATGGTGGAGTCAGACCTATAGCAGTTGGCACAATTTGGAGGAGATTAGTGTCCAAGGTTGCAGCTTCCATGGTCAACAAGGATATGGTTTCATATTTGGGTAATTTCCAATATGGTGTTGGTATTAAATGTGGTGGGGAGGCTATTCTACATTCTGTCAACCGAATTATGCATGAATATAGGGAGGACAACACCAAATCCATGTTACTTGTTGACTTCCAAAATGCTTTTAATATGGTTGATAGAACTTCCATGTTACATGAGGTCTTCCAGCTTTGTCCAAGCATCTATCATTGTGTACGCTTTTGTTATTCTTCTCCAGCCAGGTTATACTATAATTCACATACTCTTGCATCATCTCAGGGTGTGCAGCAGGGTGACCCTCTTGGACCCCTTCTTTTTGCTATTACATTACATCCCATTGTGCTTAAAGTTTCTCAGCTTTGTCATCTTGACTTTCAAGCTTGGTATTTAGATGGTGGGACTTTAATAGGTGATATCCTTGAGATCTCTAAGGCACTTAATATCATCCAACTTGAAGACAGATGTAGAGGGCTTATTTTGAATATTGGGAAAATTGAAATATACTGGCCATCCCCGGATCCTCGCAGGCTATTAAAAGGTGTTTTCCCTGACAATATTAGCAATCCGGTTATGGGTGTAAAGTTGCTTGGGGCTCCTGTTAGCAATAATTCTGATTTTTGTATGAATATGGTCCTTAGTAGAACTCAAAAAACCTTGAATCTGATGGATGTTGTAAGTACCATCAAGGACCCTCAATGTGAATTACTTCTTTTACGAAATTGTGTTGGTGTCTCTAAACTTTACTTTACTATGAGAACCATTTGCCCTGAATACATACTGCATGCTCAATCCTTGTTTGATAAACACCTATACCAATATTTGCATAACCTTATCCTAGGAGAAGGTGCTGGATTTGGTCTACTACATTACAGGTTGTCTACTTTGCCTATTCATGATGGAGGTCTTGGTATTTACTGTCTACAGGACACTCTTCTATACTGTTACCTAGCCTCACATATTCAGACTAAAGAGTTACAAGCCCAAATCCTTAGACATATTTCAATCCCTGCTTGTTTTCCGCCTCTGCAGCAAGCTCTTATCAACTTTAACCATGCGTGCGGTCTCCCTTCTACTCAACATCATACTGTCATTGCCCCACATCCTATGAAATCATTGGCTTTACAGTATTTTAGTTGTGTTGTCAAGGGTATGGATTCTAAGTATAACATGAGTTGCAGAGATCTTGCTCTTTGGAAAAGTAACAGGTTGAACCATGCTTTGGATTTTTTGCTTGCTATTCCGGTTGAGGGTCTTGGTCAAACAATTAGTCCAAGACAGTTTACTGCAATCTTGGCATATAGACTTGGCATTCCCTTGTTTCCGAATGAGGCTACTTGTTCTAGTTGTCATGGTCATATGGATGCCTGGGGGATCATGCCCTACATTGTTCTAGTCGGATTGGCCCAAAATTTAGGCATAATTTGGTTCGTGATACTGTGGCTGACATTTGTTTTCGAGCTGGTATTTCTCATAGAATTGAGGCTCCCTTG